CAGCCCGGCAGTCAGCCAACAGGACCTGCCAGCAGTCGAGGTGGATGCCACCTTCGCCAGGCTGATTGGGCTCCAAGAGGGCCAGAAGGTGGGCATACTGCTGCATCTGGATCCTCCACAGGCGCATACCATCAACATCGAGCCATTGACCCCTGTTGATTGGGAGATGATAGAGCTGCACGCCCAGTTCTTGGAGTTGAACTTCCTCTCTCAGATACGCGCGCTCCCGAACCCCCAGGCCCAGTCGCCGCATCCTCTCACGCTGCACCTGTCTCCCACGACCACGGCGAACATCACCGTCACGTCCATCGCTCCTGCGCCGCCCAACACCTCACTCTTCGTCAAGATCTCGCCCGACGCCGAGGTCATCGTGGCGCCCAAGACACGGCAGAAGGAAAGGAGCTCGACGCGCGAAAGCAGAAGTGTAGGCGCTGCGTCGAGGAAGAGCGGAAAGAGCACGGCAAGCACAGTCCGGCGGCGCAGCGGTCGCGAGGATGCCGCGAGCAAAGGCGTCATCTTCCTGCGTGGAGTTGATCGCAGTGTCGCCCAAGAGTGGTTCGATGAGGAAGAGGACGCAGACGCCGAGGGCCTGAAGGTGTGGGTAGACAAGGACGTACTCCTCACCAAGGCTCTCAGAGGCGCCAACTGGGTCTCCGTGTCAATCATCAAGCCCGCCGGGCTACAGGAGCCCGTGGACATGTCCAAAGAGCAGGAGCAGGAGAAGCCCGCAACGCGCGTGGTCGCCAAGATCATAGCATGGGAGGACGCGCCGGATAGTCGACATGTGGCGCTTTCAACCGATCTCTGCAAAGTTCTGGGCTTCGAGAACTTTGTGGGCGGTCTCGTCCGGATCGAAGGTGCTCCAGCTCAAACGCCCAAGCCGCCGGCCATGAAACCGCAAGGTACGAAAGAATCGAGGGAACCTGTCGTCAAGTCTGTCAAGATCATCCCCTTTTCCACCATTGCATCACAGGTCAATGCGTCGTTGAAGTTTGGCGGTGAGTCCAAGCAGGACCAGGAAAATGCCATACAGAAGATCAAGACAACATACGGAAAAAAGAACGGACTCCTGGACGGGCCACTTACAGACGGAATGATCCTGCCTCCGGTGAAGGACTCCGAGCTTGGTTGGCAAGGAGGCATTGTAAGGTTTGAGCCGCCATCATCGACAGCCGGAGTCTCATGGGTGCTCTTCCCGGAGAGGAAGCCACCACTTGAGCTAGGTCAAGAGGTGCCAACGCCAACAAGCTGGGCCAAGGGCTGGCAGCAAGGTGACCCGCTACCGCAGACGCCTGCGAACTTAGTCGGCATAGACCCTCTCATTCAGCAACTACGATCGCACCTGACGCACAACTCTTCCGTCTTACTCACAGGTGGCCTTGGAGCAGGAAAGTCGCAATGCGCTCAACTACTTACCCATCAGCTGCGGACCGAGTATCTATTCAACACCATCTATTTTCCCTGCCGCAAACTTGTAACGGATGAGACGCGAGTCGCGACTATCAAGGAGACTCTGAACAGATTGTTCGCTTCTGCCTCATGGGGCGCAAGAGGCGGCGGGAATGCAGTAGTCATTCTTGACGACTTGGACAAGCTTTGCCCTGTAGAGACTGAACTTCAAGTTGGCAACGAGAACGGACGGAGTCGGCATGTTAGCGAGTGTCTAATCAACATCGTCAGGCAATACTGCTCCATGGACTCTGGTGTAGTCTTGCTAGCAACTGCGCAAGGTAAAGAGGCGCTGAACAACGTCATCGTTGGCGGACACATTGTCCGCGAGATTGTCAGTCTCAAAGCGCCCAACAAAGACGGTAGAAGGAAGGTCCTTGAGATGCTTGCTTTCAAGGATGCCAAAACAGAGCAGTCGAAGGAGCCCAATGGCCATGCTTTCCCGCCATCTCCATCTACCAGTCGACCTAGTACCGCTCACCGCAGTCACCCTAGCACTGATAGCATACCACAGCAACCCTCTGAGGATTACGCCTTTGCCATCGACACTTCCATTGACTTCCTCGACCTCGCTGGCCAGACAGACGGCTACATGCCTGGCGATCTTGTGCTACTTACATCGCGCGCCCGTAACGAGGCACTGATTCGTTCAGTTACATCGACCGCCCCTACTGTTTCTCTTACGCGGGACGACTATACACAAGCTCTCTCCGGCTTCACGCCCGCTTCCCTGCGAAACGTCACCCTTCAGTCCTCCACCACGAAATGGGATTCTATTGGCGGTCTCCATACAACACGACAGGTTCTCCTAGAGACCCTTCAATACCCTACAACCTACGCACCCATCTTCGCAAAATGCCCACTACGTCTCCGATCAGGTCTACTCCTGTACGGCTACCCAGGTTGCGGCAAGACTCTCCTCGCATCCGCCGTAGCAGGTGAGTGCGGCCTGAACTTCATCTCAGTCAAAGGACCGGAAATTCTCAACAAGTACATTGGTGCCTCTGAAAAGTCTGTCCGCGATCTCTTCGAACGCGCAGAAGCAGCGCGACCTTGCGTTCTGTTCTTCGATGAATTCGACAGTATTGCACCGAAACGTGGGCATGACTCAACGGGTGTAACAGACCGTGTCGTCAACCAACTTCTCACCCAGATGGACGGAGCGGAAGGTCTTTCAGGTGTCTATGTCTTAGCTGCTACGTCGCGACCCGATCTGATCGATCCTGCGCTCCTCCGTCCTGGTCGTCTTGATAAATCCCTTCTATGTGATATGCCGGACGTAGAGGAACGCATTGACATCCTACGTGCTGTAACACGCAAACTGCACCTCGCACCCAGCCTCCTAGGCGACGGACAGGAAGGCAAGAATCTCCGCGAAATAGCAATGCGAACAGAAGGCTACTCCGGCGCCGATCTCCAAGCTGTGGTATACAACGCCCAATTGGAAGCCATCCACGACGTACTTGGAGACGTCGACCCCTCGAAGATCGATCACAAGAAAGATGGAAGCAGCGGTAGTGGCAACGGTAAAGAGAAGGGTATCCCAGATTTCTCCTACTTCCGCTACGGCGACGACCCTTCATCTACATCTACCTCTGCCCTAGCCACTTCCGCCCAACTCACCGAGCGCGCCATGATTGCTCAGAAAATCGCGGCTCTACAAGCTCTACGCAAGAAGCAGAAACAGCTCCAGCGTTCTGATGGCTCGTCGCAGCGGGAAGACGAAGACAGGGCGACTAAAGAACAAGAAGATGGGGGTGAGAGGAAGGATCCGCAGATCCAATGGAAGCACATTGAGTCGTCTCTTTCCAGCGGACGTAGCAGTATCTCGGCTCAAGAGCGGATGCGTCTCGAGAAGATTTATAGAGAGTTTGTTGATGGGCGAGATGGAGATTTGCCGAATGGCCAGGGTGGAACGGAGATTGGAGGGAGGAGCAGTCTCATGTAATCAAAGCGTGCATAGTAGTGGTGTAGATCTTGGTCCAGCATAACAAAAGTTGGGTCATAGTAGGTTTGCGGAAAGTGTGTATATAGCATTCAGCAGCATATCCATTCATACACAAGCTCACGCATGCATCCCCCCTCAACTCGGTATTCCCTGTCGTCCCATTTCTTTATTTCGGAATAACGCCCTTGACATCCTCCGCGACCTTCTCAAGCTTCTGCTCCGCCTTTCCCACCATACCCATCGCCCCGTCCTTTGCTTGTTCCGCCTTTCCTGCCAAGCTGGCTTCCCGGCCGCCGAAGTTCCAGTAGTTGAGGTAGCGGTACCCTTGGACGAGTTGCGAGGAGAAGTTGATGGCGTGGCATCCGAAGAGCAGGTAGTTGGCTGGTGTGACTGCCATGGCGTAGCGCATGAATGTGCCGGAGTAGAGGGTGAGGGCGCCGGTCATGCGGCCGGAGATGCTAGGGTGGGGTTAGCTGAATGTTATGAGGAGGGGTGTGGTGGAATCAGGTCGAGGATGTGTAGATAGGAAGAGGGCGGGTTGCGTCGCGTATTGTTCAAGTGGTTTGGCCATAGTAATGCCGTGAAGAGGAGGAGGCAGCACGTACATCTCAGGATCTTTGCTCATGTCCGCAATAGCCGCAATCGGGATACCAAAGTTACTCGCCGGGCCCCAGAAATCTATCTTTGCGTTAGCCCACTGCTCTCTCTTCTCTTCCCTTTCCTATCACTCCTCTGTCAAATCTCCAGATCTATCCTCCATCGCGCCCTCCTCCCAAGCTCTTGCAATGCGCAATCCCGCGAAGAGACGAACGAGGTAAACGTACGAGTCGAGCAAAAGTAATCCGTGTACTTGTTTGAGCGAATCTTCGCATTGAGGGCTTTGATCGCGGCGGCCATGTTGACTTATTTACCGGGAGGAAACCGAGGACCGAGTTGCGTGGGCGGCTTGACGTGGAAGCTCTCGTGGGTCGGTTTGTCGCAGTTTGCGAGTTGCGGACGCACGACGGACAGGTTGGGTGCCAAGCGATAATTGGGGGGCCGAACAACAGGGACCGGTGCGGGAACCGCAGACTGCCTTCCGACAACGGGAAAGACATCACGTGCACGGTGATGCTGGCCGGAAATACGAGGGAATAAATAGGATGGACTGTGTCACAAGGAGCTAGATCGAGTAGAGCTGGCGAATTGCACGTTGTTTCTTCTCCGGTGTCGTGTGGGATGGGGATGAAGCAATTGACATGGTCGCTCACTATGGCGAAGACTTTCAATATAGGCACGTCAAACTTGGGTCATTGGAGCTAATCTCATGGTCAAATTGACGTGACTGATTCTTGTTCTGCATTCAACCCGTTGGTATGTTCGATGCCCCTCCAACTAAACTTCCGGACACTCTCGAACTTGGTATGCTGCCCTTTTGGTGCTTTTTGCAATCACTACCACATCGCATCTTAGGGATACTTCTCTCTTACGATGTGTCGGACGTGTGTCTGCTCCTTTTCCTAGGTATCTCCTGAGACGTGCGATGTAGGCACGCGCCGTGTTCGATCGTCCAATGCCAAATCTTTCCAGTGATATCTTATCATGATCGTTCGTTGTCCTGCGTCTACCTGCCACCGAAGCCAGGCCCACCGCGACCAGGGAAACCGGGCGGTCCTCCGAAGCCTGGTGGTGCTCCGAATCCAGGCGGTCCACCAGCGGGAGGGAAACCGGCTATGGCTTGTTAGCAAACTTCCTCAAGTTATGATCCTGGGCAACGTACGTGGTCCACCAGGTCCGCCACGACCTGGGAAGCCAGGCGGGCCACCAAAGCCTCCAGGTGCGCCTGGGAAGCCACCTCCGAAACCAGGACCAGGACCCCCAACACCAGGAGCTGGGCCAGTAAGACCGACTGGGAGACCACGTCCAGCTGGACGCGCAACACCAGGTCCCGCAGCCAGCGCAGCAGCAGTAGTTGATCCTCCAGCGTTCCCGAGTCGCGCGGCAGGGTCGGCAGGCGGTGGTCCGTCGACAGATAATGAGATTACGTGCGCGCCACGAATAATAGTAAGTCCAATTGCGCGTCGCTCTTCAGTCTCGGTGACCTGCTGGGTTGCGCCGGGCGCGGCCTTGCCCCTTCTTCGTGTGCGTCGGAACTCTTCTGTGTCGGCGAGAACGAGGTTCATGTGCTGCGGAGATGGAATTAGCAGAATAGGCAGAGAAAGGGTACGCGACACTGACCTTGTCGAATGCGAGCATCTGCCCGACCATTTGCCTACCATCTTGGAGTGTAACTTTCATGCGGTAGTTGATCTGAACTTGTAAGTTGCATGCGACTATGAGCGGATTCTGGAGCGCTTACTAGATTTTGCTATATCACCAGACGTCAGTCAGTTTCTATGCGCGTCTTCTCTCAGGTCAAAGAGTCGAGCTACTGGGCGGATTTACTTACCATCTTTCCCTGTCGGTTTGCGGCGCCAGACATGATTGGTAATGCGCGTCCGAGGACGACTTGAAATGCAGGGAAGGGTCTGTAAAAGTTCTGAGAGAGTATCCCCTTGGTGTTGGCGGTAGGCGGGGCGTATGGAGCTGCTGTGTTCGCGATAGAAGTTGCAGTTCGGAGCTCTGGCAGCCTGGCACGTGCGCCGCGGCTTGGCTCGCTTAAGCCACCTCCGCTCAAAAATGCCTTGAGAATTGCGACTCCAACACCAGCGACACGACAGCCCACCCATCGACTACTAACCTCCGCAGTCATCACCATGGTACGCATCGATCCTCGACCGCCAGTTGCTCTGCGCAAACTAACAGCCATGACAGTCCGACTCCAAGGCCTCCAACCCCATGCGGGAGCTCCGCATCCAGAAGCTCGTCCTCAACATCTCCGTCGGCGAGTCTGGTGATCGTCTCACTCGTGCCGCCAAGGTGCTCGAGCAGCTGTCCGGTCAAACCCCCGTCTACTCCAAGGCCCGCTACACCGTCCGCACTTTCGGTATCCGAAGGAACGAAAAGATCGCTGTCCACGTCACCGTCCGTGGCCCCAAGGCCGAGGAGATCCTCGAGCGTGGTCTCAAGGTCAAGGAGTACGAGCTCCGCAAGCGCAACTTCTCGGAGTCTGGCAACTTCGGTTTCGGTATCAGCGAGCACATCGACTTGGGTATCAAGTACGACCCCAGCATCGGGTATGTGGAATCTGGATCCTGAGCGAGGGAGACATTGGCTGACTGGAGCAGTATCTACGGTATGGACTTCTACGTCTGCATGACCCGCCCCGGTGAGCGCGTCGCCAAGCGCAGGCGGTGCCAGAGCAAGATCGGCTCCTCCCACAAGGTCAACCAACAGGAGACTGTCAAGTGGTACAAGAACCGATTCGAGGGTATCGTCCGATAAACGTATCGTCGGTTTGGGGGAAAGGAACGAAATGAAGATTTTGCACGATCACCAGCATTTTCGGTCTCGGGGGGTTCGGTCCTACGGAGTCCTGGAATGTATCTTACAAAAGAGCAAGCATTGAACTTGCGGCCTATCAATGGAGCGACCTCGTCTCTAACGAGCGGGTCTACGATCACAAACACAATGGAGGCTTCACTTGGGTGAATGTTCCGCATAACCATTGTATGATCATCTCTGCTCGATGTCGTCGCATGTGATGTGTCTGTTCTGTTGTTGCACTGACATGACAGGATCGACTAGCACCCCAAGATACTCGAATGTCATCACACTTGATCTACATGCCTGTGCGGGACAAGTGTGAATGACTGTAAGGTTGAGACGTCTAGACACGCATCTCACGTAATGCAGATTTGAGGACGACTAACTACGCGATCCAAACCTGCCGTCATACTTGCTTATCCTCGCGTGGATATACAGTAGGTGCGATACGGAATCCACGCCACCAAGAACGTCGCGGGGCATCCGCGTCGCCCAAGCCTGCAAGAGGCGCGCACACGGGGGCTATGACTTGAACATTCAACGCGGTCTCACGAAAACCTTGTTGTTGTACATCTGAATTTCTTTGATATACACGGACCGTTCATTCAGGAACATGCATATAGCTCCCAAGAGGACATTAGACTGTGAAGTCAAAATAACACAAGCACCACCATATATATCAGCCATAATACTCCCGTCTACATCAATGACCACCCATCAATGACCACCCTCATTTCTCCCGTCAGTCTACTTCACCTCACGCTCAGCCACCGGATTACGCAATTGCCAGTCCACGCGCTGTGCCTGCGGCAAAGCAGGCCGGGCGGCTGCGAGCGCCCCGTAGACCTCTCCTGCGGCCGTGGGTCACGGTGGAGTAGTTTGGCGAGACGCTCGGGTTGTGTGCGTGGCGTAGTCGCTGACATTGACTGTGAGGCGTGGTTTTGCAGTGTTTGGGGTTGAATGACAGAGTGGTTCGATGGTCATGCGCTATGTGCGTCGCGTTGGCAGCGATTTTCTACGAAGGAATTCGCCGAGTGTTGCAGATGATCGCAGCAGTGTGGACACAACATTTATCAATATAACGTAAGCATTCGGAAAGTCAAGTTTTGAAAGGTAAGATCTTTGTATTTCATCTGGCATTCTCAAAGATCACAATAGATCTGACTCTGCTCCATTCTGCTGCAGCAACCCCCCATCCCTCATGTCATGTACAACGAGAGGCGTAGTAAGGAGGCGTTCTTACTTTAAAGGTATCTTAAAAACATTCCCAATCCCAGAACACCGATTAGCGATAGACGGAGAGACAGACAAAGGAAAAAACAAAGCCCGGCCGAAGCCTCGCTTCAAAGGGGTGGAAGAATGTACATTTCCTGATATCGTTGTGCGAAAACCATGCAACCAGATTCCAGATTGATTGAGAAGAGAAAGGAGAGGTGACGATGCGCGCTAAATCCACAGTACAACCCACGTTCAAGCAGCAAACTCAACGGCTTTATCGCTGACCCGTCACCGAAGAGCCAAAGTCAAAGCCTGTGGGTTGTTGCTGTTGTGGGGGTGGGTATGAGGGCGATGCTAGCGGTGTGTAAGCACCGGGGATGGGAACAGCAGCGTACTGCTGTTCACCCGGCGCAGCAGCAACATGCTCGTTCCTCCTTTCTTGGAAGCCTGGAGATGGCAGTGGTGGGGATACGGTGCCTGTCCGTGCGGGTGCAGAGTCGAAGCCATCTTGCTCGATTTTGGGTGTGGCACCAGTGACCTTGATAGGCGGTGCCTGGAGAGTGAATGGTTGGGGCTGAGCAATCTCGCGAGCGTAGGCGTATTGGACCTTGTCGCTCTCGCCAGCCTCAGCGGCAGAGTGCGGGTCAACGTACATTGGGTGACCTGGAGGTGGGCGCCAGCCGCCGGAGCGGGGAGACATGGGACCAAAGCCAGGGGTGTTGGGTGCGGATTGCGAGCGAAGCTGGGCGAGGTAGAGATCGGAACGGGCACGGTCGCGCATGGCCATGGACTTGCGGAGCTTGCGCTTAGACCAGAAGCGGTAGAAGACGATGCCGTAGATGGCAATGACTAGAACTTCGATTACGACTTCGATGATGCAGCAAACGAGAGCCCAGTTCTGATGAAGCGTTAGTATTCATTTTCCGTTGCCACCATGAAGAGTGTGCTTACCTGAAGACGGCAGACAAGGCCATAGGCGATATCGTCCTCGAAGAGATGTCGTCGCTTGTTGTCAACGCAGGACCAACCCCACATGTCTTTGTTGTTGTTCTGCGCTTTGCTTTGGTTGAATACGGCTGCACCAACACCCCACATGACGATGCTAAAGATGAAGAATCCAACAGCAAAGACAGTGTAGTATGCCGCAACCTTTTCAGCTCGATGGTGACCTCCTCTCCAGTAGGCGATGATGACAAAGATAGACATGACGAGGGAGACGCAGGCGATGGACAGCAGAAGAATCTGAGGCCAGACCTTGGTGTTGTCGGCCCATGGTGGAAGGTTGTTCCTTGGTGCGAGGTTCTTTGTGGCGTTGAAGATGGCAAAGGCACTGGCGACCATGGCAAGGACGATGAGCGAGCAGGCAAAGTTGATGCCCCGTAGGAAGATCTTTGCTAGTCGAACGCGAACCTTGATTTTCTATGCATTATTAGCAACTGCATGTGACTGAAAGACTGACTGAAGACTTACCAAATCCTTTGCTTGCTCCTTGTCGGTCATGGCTTCCCGCTTCTCAAGCTGATGCTCTTCCCGGAAGGTAGGGCTCATGATTGACATTGCGCCGGCCGGCGTCCGGGGCGGAGCGCCAGGCGACTTCAATGCACTCTTGAGTGGGGTTTTGGGGGTTGGTGGAGGAAGGTACCTCCGATCGGTTTCTTCCATCTCGACGGATTGCATGTAGCCGAAGCCTGTGTCTGCGATCTGGGGTTGCGGCTTGTAGTGGTTGGTTGGGTACTCGATGGGCGACCGAGGAGGATCAACCGGCGAGTAGACTGATGTTGCTTCGGCGAAGCGTGCTGCGCGTGGAGTCCTGACGTCGAGGGAGTCTTTGGAGCTTCGTCGTTCAATCGTGATCTGAGTAATCTTCTTATCGTTGGCGGCCATTCTAAGAGAATCCAAGGTTCACTCGAGGAAGCTGGAGGCTTTCATGTAGTGGAGAAGGGAGAGAGAGGTAGAAATGTAAGACAGGACGACGACGACCAAAATCCAGGCCAGCTTAGACCAGTCGCAAGAGGGTAAGAGAGACAAATGATAAAAGACGCACGACGTATTACAATAAGAGACCTGCTGGAGAAAAGACGAGGTCTAGCAATGGGCGAAGCGCTGGGCTTTTAGGCTCAGGGCGCTTCGAGGAGGGAAGGGTCGAGGATTGGATAGTGGGGAGCACGGATGGTAGCAGGTGGAGAAGGTTGCGATGGGAAAGCGGGCGGGTACTTACAACGTTCTAAATGTATGGCGCCTAGAGGAAGGCTGCTGGGAGTACTGCAGGTGGGCGTCTGATAGGCTGGGTGGGGAGACGAGCTGGATGCCAATGGCGCGCAGAGCGAGGAGGGGAGTGGTGGCCCAGAAATAGACGCCCGGATGAAGTCGATAGACGATTTGCAAACGACGCGCATCCAGACCTGGACACTGCAGCGCGAAGAGCTTGGTTTAAGGGCAAATCTGACAGGGTGCTTATGCCGTCAGTCAGCGTGGCAATGGCAGTTTTCCTCGCAGGGCCGTTGGATGGGTCAGTTGTGCGTGTCTGCTCTTGCGCCTCCAGACGTTGTGAGGGCCGTCCGAGGTATAGGTAAAACGAGGAACAAAGCCATGCCCACGCCTCGTGCCCTCGGGAGCGAACTCTGTCCAGCGAGCTGGCGTCGCGGTCGGCAGGGCATTAAGTGGCTGACGTCCAATGAATGCAAGACGTTTGACGCCTGCAAAACGCGACATGGTGGTTGTCGCCGGTGAGTGGTTGAAGGGTGCAGGGCCTGTGCATCACGCAGAGTGGGCGCTAGGGCGGATTAAGCGTGCGGGAAGCGCGCAGCAAACTCAGACGACCAATGGCGGCGGGAAGGAGCCTCCAAGACGAGAGGGAAGGCGCCGCCCCGCTCTGATAGCGGCCCACCTCTCGTCGAGTCCAAGGGCGACATCGAGTCCCGACAAGACAGCAGCACGACACCACGGCACCTGCGTGTCTCCGATCCGCCTTCAACGACTCGAATAAAGGATCCGCACGCCCGCTCGCACTTCATCAGCAGCCCATCTGGATCAATCCAAGAAGCCTTGGCTGTAAGCAGCTATCAATGCCGCTGTCGTGATGTGAGCGCTGCTGCATTGTGCGCCCAGGGTCTGCTGCACGACCAGGCACAACGCATGCTAATTCCCCTCGGATCGACTCACTAGCCTCCGACCATGATATTTACCTGGATATCGTCGGCCCTCTAGCTGCCTTGAGGTAGTTTTGTTTCGTTTCTTGCTGCACGGTTATTTTCGTCCATGGCTGCATCGTGGGGTAGTGCGAGACCATGGCAATGATGCGCCAGGCTGCTAATAGGGAAACATCCTTCTTAGCAGTGGCGCGTTCGCATCTCTCATGAGGCCACGTTGGTTTTGGTCAGTGGGCCGTCGCGTGAGTTGACGGGAGGATGGAGACTGCCATGAGTTGCGCCTGTTCCCGCCCGTGCCTCATCACCTACGCCCCAGGGCCCGTCCCACTATGCAGACGATGCTGATGAAGTTCGCAGTTATCGGTCTCGGCTCACTCGTAGTCAAGACACCAACGCCCTTCCATGAACATCACGAGTACAACCCCGGGCTAAAGCTCTGCAATCTTCGCAATCGACACAGCCCAAAACTTGTCCCATCTCCAGTCGCTTCATCGTGTTCCTCGTCCCAGCCTGCAGGCGCCTGCATTTGCCACTCCTCCTCCATCATGCTAAATCTTACCATCCTCCCATCTTCACCACCCTAATAATACCCCATCTCATGCATATCCTCGTTCCCATGCCCATAATTTACTACACTGGGACCATCCGTTCTCCGCCGGATGCACGGCGGGTGATCAGCCGGGGCCAAAACGGTCAGGCAACCCGTTTCGAAACTATTTTACCCTCTTTTAGCCTTCCAAAAACTCTGGCAGCACGTGGCCTGTGCGAGCAACTCTATAATCCTCCGCCTCCAGCTCGGATGGACTGTGCAATGTCAGAATATCTCACTCTAGTAGTCAATACAGCCATCTGATACCGGCATCCTTCACATTTAGTTCTGCATGCAACTATTTAGAGACTGCAGCACGCGACGCCGTTCCACATCTGCCTAAGAATACGAGACTCAGTCCTAAGTAAGCTTCCCACGCTCCTTCATACTTTAGTCCATTTCCAAGCAGTGTGAACAGCTTCTGCGTCATACACGTGTACATCACTATCACTAGATGTTTGCATAGGGCTTGAGTTGGTACAGAGGTGATGATGCAAGGCTATTGAATACACTACAAGGCCAGTGCCGTCATTACCGTTCAGGCATTGCTTCCGAAACTTCTCCGCTGCCGCGGTTGCCGTTCAAGCATTTCTTTAGAAGCTTCTCCACCACCCCGGTTTGCAAACAACGTCATCCTCCGGAGCCAAAGGCACGACCGCTGCTACCTTGGGGTCAACAGCCTGATTCCATCAACATCCTCCTCTCCGTTACTGAAGAGGCGACACATTGCTGGTATTCAAGTTCAGAGAGACAAATCTCGTATAATGGCATCTTGTACGTGTGCCTTCGCCAGCAACTGGCAGGTATATTCAGTGGATATCTGACAAGTGGCAAGTCTTGTATTCTACCAAAACAGGCAGCAAAAGCACATACCCGCTCCCAGACGGTCTCAACGCCGATGACATTCTCCAGATCCTGCACAATCATTCTGTGCTATCTCAGATATTCTGGCCACACTCATCTGCCACGATCCGCATCCAGCCGAGTTCCATGTCAAACGTGTCCAATTTTCTCGTTGGGCAGCATGGGTCGGAATACAAAGCGACCCTGTGTAGCCAGCCAGATGGGGTGGTGTGCACCGAAGAAATGCCGCTAGGACTCAAGGCTACAATCACTTATGCGGTAGTTGATCGCGATCGACTTGCCAAACAGCAGATCGCGCGTAGCGAAGAAAGCGAAGCAGGCTCGACTTCAAGCTTCCTCAATATGTCCAGCTCGTCCACCACACCGCTGGATCACCAACACTACCTGCTCGAGGAGATAGCAGCAACTGCTTTCAAACCACTCGCTTCTTTCATCAAAATAGGGCAAAACAAGCTCATTCCTAAGACAGAGAATCTAGTGAAGGTGTTGGAGCATCTAGGTGGGCCGCAGAAGGATCTCATTGCTGCGTTGTCGGAGTTGAATGGCATCAGAACACATGTAGATTCCGATATTTCGCTGGGCAAGGCAAAGGATGCATAGCATGTAAAGTTTGTCGCTCTATGGCCGCAAGTATACTTGACAAGCGCAAAACGTACGAGGACGTACTTTACCAACGGCGGTCTCGACTTTGTTGACTGCTTCAGCGACTCGCAAGACATATGTCTGCTCAACACTGATTCAGACTACCAGCAAATGGATAGGGATGTGCAGTATTACTACCTTGATCTAGAGAATACCTGGCGCGCCAAGGTTCAGATTTATGATCAGAGCGCTGGGGCTACAGCAGTGTATTATACTTGCGATTTCTCTTATTTATAAGAGTATCTTTTTATTAAGGTTATTAATATTATAGAAGTTATAAGTAGCTTATTTTACTTTACGTTATTATAGTACTATAAGATAAAGTAAATAGAACTAAGAGATAGAATTGCACATAAGTATAAGTTAAAGGGGAGAGAAAGCAATAAAAAGGTAACTGCTATAGGTGCTGCTTCTTAAGTACACCACACACGCACAACTATGGCCTTCAACACGCTCGCCATCGACCCAGCCACCGCGCTGGGGCTACGATTGGGTCGGGGAGTATTGCGGCTTTTGGAGAAGTGATCATGCGAGTAGTGTAGTGCCATGCCAGGTGTCCGAATGGTATTCCCGCGTCTCATCAATGTCGGGCTGCGTAATGGTCTTTCACGGGGATACGAGTTGAAGGGCTGCCTCGGTGTGAGAGGTGTGGATAATACAAGTGAAGGAGGAATGTTCTATCATATGAATACAAGCGCGTCTTGACGCTTGCTCAAAAGCTATCCACAGTGAGATGATCAGAAGATGAATAAATAGAAAATAGTACAATGGAAGCGTCATAAAGTCTTCCACGAAAAATGTGATGCGAAGGAGTGCCTTATTAGTCCTTCAAAGCCCCAAGTTAAGGTTCAGATAACTTCTTATCTCTGTCTAACATCTTACCATAGAACAACGGTTCAGGATACATGTCCTCTTCATCGTCGCTTGACGAGTTTTGTTCACTGACCTGATACCTGTCCAGCCCATCGTCTACCCTACCCTGGCACGCAAAGCTAATATCCGAAAGTGTCTTCTTTCTCCCTGAGTGTACGCTGTCTAGAGTCTGCATAGCAGTTTGCTTCAACGACTTACCAGTCTTCAACGTTGGTCCTACGACCTTGTCGTGCCAGTGTGTCGAGTGAGCGTCGTCGTTCGCATATACGTTTGCTTTCCCTCGACCGTTGCGTTTGCTCTTAGCAGCACTTAGATGTAACACAGGGAGATGAAAAGCTCGAGGTGAGGGTCGGCTAGTCTCTTTAGTCTTCTCATGGACGTAAGACGGCTGGGAAAAGGGAACGTCAGTGCGGGTTACGGGAAGGGGAAGTTCAGCTGTAGGTCCGCCAATTCCACCACGTTCTACAGTTACATTGACTGTGGTATCTTGGATTGGTTCTATTAGTGGGACAGGACGTGAGATCTTGGACTTCAAAGATTGAGGTGCTCTGGAAGGCGAATGTTTCCACCATGAGTTGGACTCTTCTTTCTTAGCGGGCTGTCGGAGATTTACGAATGGCACGTCTTTAGCTCTTCGTACCTTCGGTGCTGTGTCTGTTCTTGGGAAGGGAGGGTGAGCGTTGCTCACATCAACTATTGATCCAACTGTTCTTTCAGCGGCTATCGGTGGTCCATAGATTGAGCTCGAGAAGCCAGAATCTCTCCGCGCATCTGGCCTATCGGGTATGTTCACTTTGTTACTGTTATTAGTATGAGACGTCCGCGGCCGCAGCGGTGGGAAGAGAACTCCATCAGGACTTGTTGGGGGTGGAAGAGGACAAGGCGGTCGCCTTTCGATCTTCACCTTCGCCATTGTTTCGGGAGGCTTCATATCAGAGGGTTCAATACCAGCTTTCTTATGGCCAAGTTTCTGCTGGTACGCTTCCCAAACCTTCTGTCCCTCACCCTTTGGGCCTGCAGTGTAGATGTTCTTAGCTGTGCGGTACCAATGAGTCGGACCAGAAATAACTTGCTTCTGTTCACGTTTTTGCTTCCGGATTGTAGCTTCATCAGCATCAGATGGTTTATCCAAAATCTGGTTCTTCCGCATGCGCTTTGTTCCTTGCTCAGGCCGTACTGTTGACGCTGAACAGCGAGGAAGGACGGCCGAGTCTGACATCTTCCAGGTCTGTTCAAGCTTCGAGAAGTCGAGAAGTCTTGGTGCTACTACAGGGCTTTCCTGGTATGATACCTTCGTATTGGTTGCAGAAGGCTTTGAAGATAGTGATGGTGGTTTTGTCTCGTGTCTTATCGATGACGACACACGCGTCTCGGTGGGCCCGTCATTTGAGTCGCTGAGTAAACTGAACTTGTAATGGTTGGGCTGTGTTGGCCGCTGCTCAGTGTCAAGGTCCTGTTTGACTACCGTCAAAGGGCCAGCTGTGACCCATTTCGTACCCCTCGTGTTTCGTCGCATGCGGTGTTCATTCTTGGTAAATGGGTTAATGACTGTTCGCGGGTTAGCCATGGCGAAATGAGCTTTGAATGTTTATGACCTCGCTTTCGGTGACTAACGGGAGGGCACGTCTAATGTTACGGTGTGGACGTAGTCGATAAGGTAGTGAGCAGTGGTTACGCAAGAAGGGTAGCGGAGACGTGATGTGGGGTGAGAGAATACGCGCGCACCAGATCGACAATGCATACAATACTCTTGAATGAAGTCAAACATCGTATTTCGAGTCACAGTACGGGCGTGTAAGACAAAGCGTTACAAGATAGAACAGCGCTCTAGACTATACAGGCCTTGTTCTGAGCGCTCCTGACGACTGAACAAAGCAATTCACCTCTTACATCCTTCGCTTTTGCCTTATGACATCATGAGCAGGTTACCTTTTTTGTAAAAGCCTTGTCGCGCAAGGCAAGTCAGACCAGTGACAGTATCTGACGCTAGTAGCAGTGTGAACTCAGAACATGTTAAGAGTGAAAGCAACGAGAGAGACGACGCATCGTGATGCCCTGGTGCCTTGCCAAAAAACCTTCTCCAGAGGTAGCAGACATAGCCCAGCAGCTAAGGCAACACCAAGCCCCACGAAAAATGAATGGTGAGTGAACGCATGGAGATTGAACGTGAAGTTTTTGCCATTAAACGCTATCAAGGAAGCGCCTCAGTGTATAAGGCTGAGCGCAAGGAGATTCGTGAAAAAGGAAAGGGAAAAGAAGTTACTCCTATGAGCACTCTACGCAGCCAACCTCAATACCCTCAATCACCAGAGGCTTACTGTACTCACTTGGGACATTGCCCATTCCCATATCGACATCCTTCACACTGCCCGTCTCACTCTGTGTCTCGCTACCAAGCGCAGAATCGCTCTTGCGCCTCCTAGCCTCAGTCTCTTCTTCAATGTACGCGTACTCGTTCCTCCAATCACACAACATCTTGCTCGTGACGTTGCTACCGCCACAAAGCACAATGACGACCTTGTCTTCTGGGCGAACTGGGCGGCCGAGGGCCTTCTCGAGTCGTCCGTCATAGCAGAGAGCGACGTTAATACCGCAGGCGAGCTCTACCATGATGCGCTCGTCGTCTGCGAGGCGCCAGCAGCCCATTGCTGCTTCTGCGTCGGGTAGAACGATGCTTCGAACGTTGCCTCGCTGAGCGTATTTGAAGGTTGCGTCTGTTACGCGGGCGCAGCCTAGACTTGTTGCTTGTGATGTGATCTTGGGTAGCGTTATGAGTTCCTTGGCTTGCAGCGCTGCGTTGAGACTCTCGGCGCCAGCAGTCTCCATGGCGAGGATGGTTGTCTTACTCATTTGGTGTTTATCCATAGACTGGCAGATACCGTTGATTAGGCCGCCGCCGCCGACAGAGCAGATCAGTACATCTGGCTCGCCTGGGAGTTGAGCCGCGACCTCGTCCATGCAGGTGCTGTTGCCTTGCCAGATGTCTGGGTGATCAAAGGGTGGGCAGTAGATGGTCGAAGTTTGTGCCTGATGGATGCGTCAGTGTCTCAGTCAAATTGTATACCTGGAGAGGACCATACGTAGGGCATTACATGCTCCTTGAGATATGTGTCTGCATCTTTCCAAGCTGCACCGTATTGGATAACCTCGTACGCGCCCGCTGCTCGTAGTTTGGCAACCATCAAAGGTGCTGTGGCGGTGGGTACAACGACAGTGCACGGTAAGTTGAGAGCGCGAGCAGAGTGGACGGCAGCGAGACCTGCATTGCCACCGCTGGATGCGAATATGTGAGGGCGCGAGCCTTCTGGGAGTTCTGCGAGACGACGGAGGATGTAGTTGCCGATTCCTCTGGTAGACGAATCAGTACGTTATTGAGTAGCAGCTGAAGGGATTGATGCTTACCGTGACTTGAATGATCCAGAAGGTTGGAGATTTTCCAGCTTGAGAAATATTCTGCTTCTACGATTTAGAATTCCCTTTTCTTGAAGATGGGGCCATGTTGTGACGTGAAAGCGAGGAGAGGGGCTAAGGTGAGAGGGAGTGTGACCGTACCATCCCGCTGCTTCAGACAGCGCGTACGACTCTCTCAGCGGAGTCTGAACCCATGGGTTTTGCTGGGGCGCCTCGTCGATGTAGCACTCCTTGACGGCCATGATGAAAGTAGGGAAAGGATTGGGGTATCACAGAATTGTATTAGAAGCAAGTGTAAGATGAGAAGTAGACGAAGAGCTTGATGTTTGGTGTTCAGAAACGCTTTGTTTGGTCGCAGTCTAAGGGTACAAGAGCCACTCCTTTATCTCTACCATGATGGCTTATCGCTCCGCAAGCACCCGCAACCCTAGTGTCCAGGTCATGGAGCCAGAGGGGTAAAGGCAGCACTGTGGCACACCGAATCCACGATGTGTTGTATCGATTACCCTATAAAGTGCATAAATTACCCTATAGATTCTCGATAAGGAACAAGTGACCACGCTGCGACTGCAAAATGACACAAGCATGAGACCGGTACGCAGCAGCTTGGGCCAGGGTTTGGATTTCCAGAAGCGGTTATCAACGGCGGGACCATTTTCTGCCAGGGTTTGCCGCCTCCAAACAGTGGTGGACTTGGCGCGGCCTTGCCTATCAGAGGACGCGCATCAGTTGTCTATGCGGGTGATGAGTCCAGAAGGCCCGGAGCCGATAACAACTCGGCGAGACGGTGAAGACGGGGTTGGCTGGGAGGCTGATGTTAGGATGACATGACGGCTGCGGGATTGGCGCGAGCGATCCCCGACGGAAAGGAAAACTCTCGCACATGAGTGGAAGACGCGTCCATGCTCCCATCACGATGCAACTTTCCTGCGATAGCTATCGACGTTTCAGACAGGGCTTCCCCAGAACGAAAACTGCATGCGGACGTCGGAACAGATCATGCGGATCCGCAGACCATGTTGAAAACGCTAGTTGGGTATCTCTGTAATGCTTCTCAAGTTTACGCTAACCATGGGGTTTACGCAGCAACCTTTGGTTGATCGAGGAGGCCTTTCCTAAAGTTCCAGTAGTTTGCTCGAATCGGATCGTACTTTGTCGCCAACAGCTCCAGGGCTTTCTCCGCATTTTCTTTGCTGTTCTCTTCTTCCGCATAGATGTCGGCTAGGAGATCAAGAGCGTGGCTTGAGTGGACGTCGTCTGGCCTCTGCACATCAGCGAATTCACCCGCGAAGTCCTTGAGGGTAGACTTGGGAAGTTCCGCTGCGCGAATGATACCCAAGACATAGTTCCATGGGCTCTGGTTCTGGGGCGCTTTCCGGATGGCTGCTTTGGTGTACCTATGGGGTTAGTATCGTCGAGCAGCTTGGGGCGATAACAGACATACTCTATCTCCCGAGTCACAAGATCTGCGCTTGGCTTCTCCTCTCTACCGCCAACGACTAGGTAGTAGCGATGGTTCCAGGCAGAGTTGTTGCGCACATCTTCCTCGATCATGCTGTGTGTCCACTCGAGCTCTTCGGGCTTGTCAAAGAGATCGAAGCGCTTGACCAGCCATTGCCTGTAACTCCACACATGGTAGTTCTTGGAGTCCAATTCCAACATGGAGTTTATGAACTCTGGTTCGCCCTCGCATGAGCCGAGCTCGTCGATGATGGTGTGTCGGTGGTGCCAGATCTGGTAGTTCTTGAGGTGCTTCAGTGCGGTCGGGTTGAGCCATGCGATTTCATCCTTCAGTGATCGACCAATCTCAGAGATGGTTTTGGCGCGGTAGAGCCTGCGGGGGGTTAGCAGGATGGTTGTTGGAGAGCTCCCTGTGCGACTGCTGGTAGGCAGTGTCTCCTCCGAAACTCCGCAACTTGACCGAGCATACGACGTACCAGACAGTGTAGTGCGCGGGGTTCATGCTGATGATGTGCTCCGTGAGGCCGAGCACCCGCTCGCTGAACTCGTTCTTTGCCATGACGGCGCGCAGGTAGCCCATGGCCTCGCTGTACTCCTCCGTGTATGCGATGGCAGCGAGCGGATGCAGGCCGCCGTCATCCTGGGGAAGTGGCTCAATGTCCGCCCATGCCTCGTCGTCGTGGTAGTATTTCGGCATTCTTTCCCTGACGCCTTTTGCCTTGGGGTTGGTGGGGTGTGCGCTCGTAGGTAGCAATGCGCGCAGCAGGCGATATGGCGACAGGAAGATGGTCTCGAGCCAGGCGCGAATGAAGTTGAAGGCCATAGTGGGGTGCGAGCTTATGTCCGCTGCTTGGCAGAAAACCAACGGTTGCCATGCTCTTTTCAACCGTGTTCGCAGAACAATAGCAAGCCATTTGCACATGCATCAGACGCCCTCTCCACGCTTCCCATTTGTGTAGCCCTCCAGTCGCACGATAGTACGCCCAAAGTCCTTGGTGTGGCACCCGTATCCGCCTGCGAATAAGGGTGCCCCTTCCGGGAATCTGAACTACCACTCTAGCACCAGAAGCCATGTGCGATGAACAATACTAAGACACCACAATGTAGCTGGGGCTCACTGACATGCAGTCGCCGATGTAGACTACAAGGAGGCCTGCAGGCGAACCAAGTGTGTGCATTGGAGCATGATTGATTCCTCAGATGAGGCAGGCGTGACTGGTGGTCATAGGACATCCATCGCAGCAGCTCCTGCACTGGACGCATTTCCAGATGCACTTTCCCCAGCAACAATCCACTCGCGCTTTCTCCCACGTCAGCAGATAGCAGATACGCCGTTGCCAGAGCTTGCCCGAACAGACAAGAGGTCGTCTGCTGCATTACCTCTTCCGCTTCAACCCCTCCACCACAGCCTTCACTATCGCACCCACAAGAGCAACACGCTTACCAGCCCCGCAATGCCCGTCGCGGAAGAGCTGGCGGCCAAAGACGCCTTGATCAAGAAGCAGCGTGACGTCATCGCCAAATACCTCATCCTCGACATCGAAGACTTTCTGGCCGAGGCGCGCGAGAAGGCAGAAGCCGAGACGGCAGAAGCGTATGAGCGTGCGTTGGCAGAGGAAAAGGCCAGGGGCAGAGTATGTCGAGCTCACAGAGGCTCATCGCCAAAGCGTCGTCGCTCGCTCTGCATCGCCCAAG